TAATAATGATGCTGTGAAATAAGTTTTTTTTTTTTTTATGTTTGTTTTTTTTGGCAAACAACACCAACAAACGTTTTCCCACATTTTCTTATCGATTAGCTATATCACACAAACGATAGCGCACATGCTTTTTACAAAAAAAATTATAAAATTTTTTTTTTTTTTTAAATTTTTACAAAGAGAAAAATTATTTTGACCTTGTTATAGATATATATATATATATTAAATTGACTTTCCTTTTCCTTTTTTTCCTTTATTAACCCAATTAAACAGGATTACATTTAAAGTTTAAAAAGGTTCAAAGAAACAACACAAACCTTTTTTCATATCGATTGTATTTTTATATTGCAAACGTCTTGGAACTAGCACAATAGTTAATGGGTAATAAAGTTCGTGACCTTTTCCCCCCCACCACCACCACCATCACCATCACCACCCTCTCGGTTTTTCCAGAAAAATAATTAATTAAATCATTTAAAGAACCTTTGGAAAGTAATTGTTTTTTTTTTTAAATTAAAAACGACGCCATTTTTTTTTTAGGTATTTGTTTAACGACGGATGTGGATGTATTACTCTTTCACATGAATAATGCTAGATACGTACGTGAATTGGATTTTGCAAGATTTGATTTTTTTAAAAGGACGGGACTTTTGAGTAAAATAAAAGGAAAAGGTGGAGGAGTCGTTCAAGGAGGAAATTCAATTAGGTATAGAAAGTATATAAGGCCGTTTACCGTGTACCAAATAAGAAGTAAGGTAAAAAAAAATGGTTTAACCTTTTCTTTCATTCATTTAAACAAAAAGAAAATTTTTTCATTAAAAACCTTTTTTTTTCGTTTAGATTTTATATTGGGACGATAAAAATATTTACATGGAACATAGATTTATAACTCCTAAAGACGATTTTGTAAGAGCTATCGCATTGGGAAGGTAACCATCACCACCACCACCACCCCCCTCCCCGCCAATTTTTATGATTTATATTAATCATTGACATAAATTTTTCAGGCACAGAATAATAAATTGTGACGTCAACGACGTCATGAGAGAATTATTACAAGTAAGTGAAAATTCTAAAGAAGAGGGAATTTTAAAACCCTCACTACCTCTCGAATTGGCTAAATGGATAGAATGTAACGAAATATCATCGTCGAATTTAAGAAACAATTTATGACAACGACAATCTGGAGAAAAAATACAAATTTCTCCAAAATTAACAACAAGTAATCTTAATAATGCCGATACCGATAATAAGAGTGAGATTTCAACGAACCAAAACAAGTTATCAAAGGCTACAAGTACTATTGATAAATCATTCGTGTAAATTATTTTTAAAAAAAAATAGAAAAAAGTTCCTCAGTGTTTTAACATTAATAATAATAATAATAATAATAATAATAATAATTAATTTTCTTTTAAAAACAGTGAAATGTTACATTATTATTATCATTATCAAGTTTACAAAATTTAAACTGATTTAAATCTGGTTACCATTTAAATTTAGTTACAAAAATTTTATTTTTAAGTAATTTAATAATAATGAAATTACAATAAAAGTTTATTTTGTTCTTTTCTAGCCTGTATTATAAATAATAATAATAATAATAATAATAATAATAATAATAATACGCCTTATTATAAAAAGTATTAAAAGTGAATATATAAAACAAAACAAAAACTCTTTTCACATTATAATAATTAAACTGTTTGATTTGAATTAGAAAATTTTAAAATTATTATTATTATTATTAGTTCATTTTTATAAAATTTGAAAATGTTATTATTATTATTATCAGTTATATTTTATTTTAAAATATTTAATTCATTATTTTTATTGTTAAGGTTAGTAAATGTTGTTGTTGTTGTTGTTGTTGCTGATGTTGAATTTTCATTCATAGTAAAAAAAAAAAAATGTTTAATAGATTCTATAATGATGATAAAAAATGTTTTAGTTTTAAAATTTTATATAAAAAAAATTATTCATTTAAAACAGTTTTTAAAATCTAAATCTCATGATTTGTGTTAATTTTTTTTTGTTAAATTATAATAAAACTTAAATATTTATTTTGTAATTACATGTGTAAAAAGAAATTAGTTTTTACTCTTTTTTTTTTTGATTATTTACCTTTTAATCCCATTGTAATAATTAAACATTGTACAAAATCTTTTGTTTGTTTAAAACAATTTAAAAATTATAACAAATTATTAAAAGTGGTAGTAATGTAATGTTTAATTCTATGGCGTCATTAAAAAAAAAAAAAAGTATTTTTGTATAGAATAAAGAAATTATTTTATAAAACTTACATTATTATTTTAAATATCACTTTAAATATATATTTATAAACTAATAAAAACTTATTATGATTTGATTTATGCACAATACAAACAAATTTTAAAAATTTTCACACCGTAAACGTTCTTTTTTTCAAATTTCTAATACCGTTACTAAAATCACACGATTTAAAAACAACGTCATCTTACGGTCAAACTCGGTACTAATATTTTGGCGCCATTGTTTTGTTTTCGACGAATACAATTTTATTTTATAAACTTTGCATTCATTTTAAAATGTTTGATGCATTTTATTATTTGATTTTTTATTTAAAAACTTATCAAGTGAATTCTAACATATTATTTATCTTAATTAATAGTCGTTGATGATTTTTGATTTGTTTATAAGTAAAACAGTAAACCATAGACAACAAAACAAAACAAAACCAAACGACATTAGTAAGCATAGAGTAAAAAAACAAATTTTATTTTACTTACCAAAAAAAAGAAAGCATTTAAATGGTGTACAATCATTGACATCATCAACCAATTAAAGAATATTAAACAAATAAAATAATATTAAAATTGTTTTTCAAACAATTAATAAAAATTTTTTTAAGTTATGAACACAACCAATAAGAAAAATAATAATAATAATAATTAAATTAAATGTAATTAAATATTTTTATAGTAAATTTTTTTTTTTAAATAAAAGCATTAACAATATTAAAAATTTTTTAACGTTATTTTATCATTATCATTCACGTTTAAAAACTAAGTAAAAATATATATAAAATAGTAAGTACCTGGAATTATCAGGTTTTGTAGTTGTGTTCGTACAACGCAAGGTTGACCAGTTTCAATATACAACTCGAGTATATAAAAACAATATTTTTTTTGTACCTAAAATTTTATTAATTTTTATTTTATTTTATTATTATTATGTTTTTATTAAAATGTTAAAAATATTATTATTATTATTAGTTTTTATTAGTATTAATTTAAATTTTACATACGGTAAGGAGAAAAAGTGTCATCGAAAAAGCATTTTTTTTCTTTTTTTTTTTTTTTGATTTTTTTGGTTGAAGAAAATGATAGTGAAAGTGATGAAACGTATGACGATTGGCATTTTATTTAAACAACCAGTGACGTAAAAGAAATATCTATAAAATAAAATTTTTTTATTAAATTATTTAATTGTTGTCTTCCACGTTTTTACTTTTTTTTTAACTTGAAATTTAATAAATACAAATATAAAATTGTTATGATTTTTTCGCAGGAGCTGTTAAAAGATGTTATTCATGTCGATCGAGGGGAGATTTAGGTACTTGTAGGGATCCCTTTAAAGTTAATTCAACTTTGGGTGAAATAGAAAAAGGAATCGAAGCCGTTCCATGTGCCTCTGGATGGTGTTCAAAAATTATTGAAGGCGGTAACAATGATGGTACATATATATATATATACATAATTCATAAACTTTAATATAACTGTAAAAATATAAATAACATTTCAAATAATATTATTTTTAATAATAATAATAATAATAAAAAAGATACGATTTGTTACACGACATTTAAACATAACGCAATAACATAAATACTATTTGAATTAGTCAATTCTTATAATGTTTTTCACATTTACAATTATTTTACATTTTTCCAAATTACGTGTCATTATGAATAAAATATTTATTACAAAGAGAAAAACATAATAATAATAATAATAATTTTAAAATTTATCAATATATTTACCGTAATTTAAATAAAATTTTCAGATTATGGTTTAGCAACAGAACGACAGTGTTTATCAAGAGGACCATCAGATTCTGAAGAAAGATGTGCTAAAACGGAATGGAATCATAAAAAAGTATACATGTGTTTTTGTCAAGGTGATTTATGTAATCATTCACCTCACATCATTCCCAATTTTTACTTAGGTTCACTTTTAATATTATTTACACTTTTAAATTAAAACTATGATGAATAATCAGAATCGTAATCTATTTTTTCCTGTAATAGTTTTTTAGTATCTTTGAGTTTTCTTCTATTTTTACTCTTTTCCGATTGAGTTTTGACACATGTTATTATTATTCCAGAAGCATATGCAAAAAAACATAAAATAAATACGAATCCTAAATATTTTAAATGTCTACCAAATTCTAAATAAAAAAATTTAAAAAAAAATAAAATTAAACGTGTGATTTGAAAGGAAAAAAAAAAAAAAAAAAAATTATTTACATGTATGTAAACCTTTTGTAAAAAATGCAGATCTTTTCATAACAATTATTTTAACTTCTTGCATTCTTAAATCGTCTACGAAACACGTATAATTTCCCGATTCTTGCGATGTTATATCGTATATGTATAAAGTATTGAATGAATCAACGTAAATTCGAGGTTCAGCTGTTTTAGGTATGTAATGATAACCTTCGTTTGAATGCAATGCGAGTTTATTATACTCCCATCGTACCTGAGAATCGATTGTGGAACTGAAACATTAGGTAAAAGTTTATTATTATTATTATTATTATTCAGAAGCTAAAAATACATAATAAAATTATTAAAAAATTTTATTTTGGTTCATTTTTTTTGTTAATATAAATTTCAAATCGACAATTCTTACTCGGGACAAACTAATGTTAAATGAGCTCCTGCTGCTAATATGATAGACTTCCTGTATCTGGGCCCTTTTCTTTCTATTTTTCCGTTACAGGGTCCGATACATTTATCAATCAATAAAAAATTTGGTATAGAATATGTTATGGCATACACCGAAGGGATTAACGTTTTAAGTAAAAAACTTTTACACGATAATGCCAAACCGTAATTGACGATATTTTTTTTTACCGAAAGAGAATCCGTAATTTCCGTTTCATTCATTTCCGTCGGTTTTTCTAAAAATGTTTAAATAATTTTTATGTAAATTTGTAAAAAAATATAAATTTTAAATACTCGTAAATAAATTATTTATCACCTGTGTTTTGCCTGTCATTAAATACAAATTGTTGTAAATTTAAATAATTTGCACACGAAGAACTTGAATTGCAATTTTTAAAAAAAACTTTAATTCGACATTTTCCTAATCTGTATTTGACACCTTCTTTCCTATAACAAGAATCGCATTCGGACCATTCCGACCATTCCGTTAAAACCTAAAAATTTATTAAACCGTTAAATAGGTACAATATTCAAATCGTAAAAATTAAAATGCCAGTTTGATTTTTAAAAAAAAAAAAAAAAAATTTAAATAAATTGCCTTAAAGTATGTATTATCCAAAAAGGTTTGATCCGATAACAATTTATTAGCTCCAGCTATGTAAAACTGAGTGTAATTTTTAAAATCAGATCCTTTTCCTCTTACATCGTTGTCACTTTTGTCGACGACTGGAAAAAAAAAAAAAACAAACAAATTTACACAACTGGAAAAAAAAAAGGAAAATAAAATCGAAAATATTCGATAGATTTACCAACAATCGACTAAATAATTAAAACTTTTATCTGGAGTGCTTATGTATGGAGCTTTACAAAAATATAATCCCAAATCATTTTCTCTTAAATTTTTCAAAACGAGAGAATGTTGAATTGTTATTATAATCGATGATGCATTTGGATTATTATCCATGCTTGGCTCAACTTCAGTTAAATTTCCAGTGAAAATGTGTTTTTGTCTACTCCATGTTTTAGGTAAACCGTTGTCTCTCTCCTCACTCGAAGAAAAAACCGGGAAAATTAATATAAAGTGATAAAAAATAGATTTTTTTTGTTGTTGTTAATTTCATTTTAATACCAGTATTTACACTCTAAAAGTATAGAATTCCCTAAAAATGTATCCACAATTATTATTTCGTCATATTTTTCCATTTTTATGAGACGACTTTGGGATTTGCAAAAAACATCAGCGTCGTAATCTTCGACGTTCTCATCGATATAACGTAATGGTTTTTTACGTTTTTTTCCATAAGAAAAAAATATCATTAAACTTAATATTAATACTCTTAATAATTCCATGTGAAATTAATGTAAATCTTAATCTTTTAAAAAAGTAATTAATTAATAATGTTTCTTCCAACAGTATGAATGATGATAATTATCACATTGTTTTGATAACATTTACGAGTAATTATTTTTTTTTCTGTCTTGAAGGCTTTGAAATAATTAAAATGGTTTCCATCCACCATTCATTCTGCTTATCTGAAAAAAATAAATTTTAGTTTTTATTCATGTTAGAAATTCGGATTGACAACTTTTTTTTTTTTTTTTTTTTTTTTTGTTTTTTAAATTTTATTTTTAGAAAAAAAAGAAATTTATATTTTTTTCCAACGGAAAGTTTTTATTATTATTATTATTATTATTATAACTTATAATAATAATAATAATAAAATGGCAAGTAAATTTATTAGGTGCATTCCCATTTCATTGCATAAACATAAGTTTTTTGTAATTGATTGTAAACAAAAAAGAAATTTTTCAAAAGTTTCCTGTCTTAAACCTGAATTGGAAATTGGTTTTAACAATCAAATAACAACAGAATTTTATGCTAGCTTTTCTTATTTAGCTATGGTAATGGTTTTTGTTTAAACAAAAACAATTTTTTTTTAACAGGACACAATAAAATATACTTTTTAAACATTTTAGGCTGCATTTTTTGCAAGGCAAAACGTTTGTCTAATGGGATGCTCTGCTTTTTTTATGAGTCAAGCCTTAGAAGAAAGAGATCATGCACATAAATTTATTGATTATTTAAATTTAAGAGGAAATGTTGTTACACTTCAAGGAGTCTTACCTCCTGAAAAACAATGCTGGGATTCACCTTTAGCTGCATTTACTGATGCTCTGCAATTGGAATCTGAAGTTAGTAAGGTAAGAAGTTGTATGCTGTAAATCAAAATAAAGTTTTTTTCATTTTGTGTTTTTTTATAATACACAATAATAACAATAATAATAATTCTTGTTAAAAAACAACAGAACTTACAATTATTAAGTATGTCTAATTATTTTCAGCAAATATTTGATCTTCATAAATTAACGGTAGATTTAGATGATCAGTGTTCTTCAGATTTTTTAGAAAATGAATTTTTAAATAATCAAGTTGAAGAATATGATAAAATGTCTAGGCATATCGCCATGTTGAAAAGAATTGGTCCAGAAGGTTTGGGAGTATTTATTTACGATGAATATTTATTAAAAAAATGTGAAAAAAAGTAGCTGAAATGTTTTAATTAATGGTATATAACTATTTTTTTTTTTTATTTACAACTTTTTTTTGTAATAAATATTTTATTAAATGATTATTTTTTAACGATTTTTCATTCTTTGACATGCCATTCGAACAAACGTTAATTTTTTTTTTTAATACGTTTTTAAATAAAATTATTATTTATCTCCTAAAAAAAATTACTGATAAAATGATCTTATATAAAGTTAATAAAGAAACACTAGAACTAAAATTATTTTTACCAAATAAACTTAATTAATACTATACCTTAATCCTCCTTGCGCCATTCTCACGTCAGCAATAAAATTTTACCGGTTTTTTAGTCAACGCCTTCTTGTAATAAATTTCAAATAATTTCCCTCCTTTTCTTTTTCACGATAAATAGGTTTTTGCATTAACGTTATATTTTATATGAATGATTTAAAATATGTATTTTATTACAAAAAAAAAAAATATATATAAATCTGTATTTGTTAAAATTAACAATTTAATGATTTAAATTTGAAAATTTTCTATAACAATAGATTTAAAATAAACAAAGAAAAATAATTTTTTATTTAAGTAAGTAAAAACGGAAAAAATATATATCACTAATTAAAATTGCAACTATCTATCACCCATATTATTTTTTATTTTCTATTAATTTTAATTTACAATGCCTCAACATGGGGCAACAAATCACCTAATTTCTGAATGTAAAATTGTGGTACTAATGAATTAATATTCGGGTCATTGGATGCAGCATACTTTTCAATATCGGATACTGTAGTTACACCAGTTAGCACCAATAATGTCATAAAACCACATTTATTGCCAAAAAGAATATCAGTATTGCATCTGATGGAGAAAAAATAATATAATAATAATGATTTTTTTGTAAAATTCTTAATTAAGAAATTATCGAAACTACACAAACCTGTCACCTATCATTAAAGTTTTACTCGGATCAATATTATGAACTTTTATAATATCTTGTAACATATATTTGTTCGGTTTTCCTAAAATAAATGCCTTTCTTCCGGACACTGCTTCTAAGCAACTTACGAAAGCTCCAGAACCTAATTAAAATAAAAATTTTTAAATAGTAATTTGTGGAGAAAAAAAAAATATTTTTTATTAACTTGATAATAATAATTTTCATACCTGGAAAAACATTATTTATTCCCATATCTTTTTTAACTGGAAGACACTCATCAGCACATGTTGCAATAAAATGACAATCAGGATCGCTTAAATATGTAGCCGCTTTTAAAATCTTTGGGTATGAAAAATGTTCATCGAAACCAATAACAACAGCTCCCACATCTGGTTCTATTTTAAGTTTTGTATTGACATAATTTTCTAAATTTGAATCTATTACATCAGGCTGAGAGAGTATTGTGAAAAAAAAAAATTTAAAACAATAATTTTATCCCTGTTTGAATGTAAAAAAAAAAAAAAAAAGAAAAAATGATAAATACATACCCCAATTTCGGTATGTCTAATTCCTGCTTTGCCAAATTCTTTGACAATCGCTGGATTACCAATTAAATAAACTTTTTTATTTAAATTTAAACTTTTTACATATTCTGCTGCTAAATAAGAGGTGCATATAACATTTTCCTGCAAAAATAATAAAATCCCCGAGTTTTACTTAAATAAAAAAGGTAAAAAATTTGAAGACAAATGAATATCGTACTTTGGTTGCATTAAAACCTAGCTTGTGAAATTTTTCAACAAATTCTTCCCTTGTTAAAGTATTATTATTAGTGACATAAAACACTGATTTACCCTTTTCCATAAATTTATTAATTGTGTGTTGTGAATTTTCAATCACGTTTCTAAATATCCATAACACTCCTGGAAAAAATAAATAATAAACCTCTCTAAATTTACAACAACAAAAAAAAACAATTAAAATTTTTAGTTAATTTAATAATTAGTAAATGTTACTACTACAAGTATGCCTTTTTTTTTTATCACAAATTAGATATTAATTTTGCAGAGATTAAAGTTACCATTTTATCATGCAAGAAAAATTGTAATAACAATTTTACCATCACAATCTGCTAAAACAGTGTTGAATGATGACAAAAAATCCATTATTTCATTTTTAGATGCCGCATTTAAATTTTTAGGCATGGGAACCATTTCAACGATATTTTACTATAATAAATACGAATTAAAATTAACTTTGAAAATCGAATAAAAAATATATAAAATGAAGGTTAAATTACGTCACAGCCTTCTACGACGATAAATTTTTTATTTTTTTTCATTTACAACGAATCTCTCTCTCTCTCTCTCTCTCTCAATAAAAAAAAAAGGAAAAAGGAATAAATAAATTTTTATGTATATATTTCATATTTATTATTATTTTATTTATTTATTAATATTCATTTTTATTTTTGTTCTAAATAACTAAATATGCAATTGATATATTATATTAATTGTATTAAATATAGGGTTGTCATGGAAACTTTTTTTTTTACCTTCACCCTAAATTATGATTACAAATTAATGATTGGTTCGCGTCTAACGGTCGCCAGATACAAAAAAATCAAGAAAATTTAGGTTTCGTCGTTAACTACGACTAAAAATTTTTAATTTTCATTTTTAAAATTCGTAAAAAAAATTAATAATGATGATGATGATGATATTTAACTCGAAAAAAAACATTTAAAAAAAATAATTACGGATTAAATACAGTGTAAACTCATTATTTAAAAAAAAATGAATAATTATAATATTATTTATAATTAAATTTTATTTAGTTTAAATTAATAATCAATGAAGCGATTCGAAATCGTTTTTTTTTTTCGAATCGACTTCAAGATAAACAAAAAAAAAATTTTTTTTTAAAAAAGGATCTCTCCATAACACTCCGCAACCATCATTCCGTGATTCATTGAAGGAAAAAAAAAATTTTTTTTTTAAAAAAATTATATTTGTTTATAAGCTAAACATGTAATTATTATTTCTTCATATGTTACGCGTGGAAAAAGATTTCTAGCGAAACGAATTACTAGGGGACTTTATTCTTATAAAATGAACCCATTTGGAACCATCCCTCTTTGTGTGTTTGAACAGTTCGATTACGTTTCTGTCATCGGTTACATTTTAAATAAAATTTTTTTTTTTTTTTTTTTTATGTCGTTGCTGTTGCTGTTGTCGTCGTTGCGTGAACGTAAATTTATTTAATTTTTCTTAAAATTTTAATAATTAATAATTACGTAAATAAACGTATCGTAATAGTTATTAGAAAAATGATTTACAATAATATTAATGATAAATATAAGTGATGGATGGATGATATTTAATTGTGTCCACAGCCTTCTTTGACAGTTTGTCAGTTGAATCAGGGGTAACCGTTAAACGAATTCAAATTTTTTTGTTCGATTTGTTTTTTAACAAACTAGTGTAGATTTTACGCGTAAAATTAAGTTGTTTCGAAAAAAAAAAAATAAGGAAACGGATGTGAATTCTTTTTTTTTTTATTAAAATAAAGATTAGGAATAAAAAGGAATAAATAGGAAGAGAAAAAAAAAAAAAAACGCGTCTGCGCTTGAATCAAAGCGTTCCTACGACTTCACACGCCCCAACCCCAATTCTAGCTTTTTACTCTGTATTGATATAAATGAAGGGGAAAGAAAAAAAAAAATTGCAGAAATTCAAATTTCTTTTTTATTTTAAATAAAATACAACCATTTTATTTTGTTCGCGTGTGTTATTATTATTATTATTACGCAGTGCTGAATTTTGGATTAATTAATTGTGTCGACGACAAAAAGATTAACAAGTTTCGTGTGTGTTACGGATTCGGCAACAAAATTATATAAAAAAGGAGAAAAGCCATAATAAAAGGTAGGGGATTACACGCAAATAAAATAAAATAAAATAAATTATTTATTTATTTATTTATTTCGTTACCGCCTGCGTTTTTTACCACCAGATTTTTTTTTTCATAACAAATCTGGAAAAAGCAAAAAAATATTTAATTATTTAATGCCGAGCGAGTGTAAATGAATGCTGTATTGCAAAACGATTCAAAAATATGCATTTTAAATAAATATTATTTATTTCATCATCATCATCATCATCATTATCATTATCATTATAATAATTGCCTTTATATTTTGCTTTTTAGATAAATTTTCTTTTTTTTTCTTTTTTTTTTCTGTCGTCACATTTTTTTTTTATTTATTTGCCGTTAATATCAAACACTTTGCATGATACACGCGCGTCATTGAATTGCATTTTATTATTATTATTATTATTATTACTATTTTCATCATGGAAAATTCTCTCTCGAGAAAAAAAAAAAACGTTTCGAAAGCTTTTTTTACTTAAAAAGGATTAAATTATTATTAAAATAATTATTTTATTAAAAAAAACATTAATTAATTAATTAAATAATTTAATCGTATAAGACAGACTGACTGGGAATGGCTCCCCAAAAAAATAGAAAAATTAGAAAAAATTGGATTGTGTCATATGACTCCACCTCTTTTTTAAAAAAAAAAAATCTTTAATTTATAATTTAATTTACTTAAATGAATTAAAATGGGATAAATGTATGGATGCTGTTGCTGCTCCTGTTATTCATCTTCTGATGATTTAAATAATAATAATAATAATAATAATAATAATAATAATAAATTGTAATTGAATTTACATCAATTCAACAATTTAATACAAAAAAAAAAAAAAACTCTGTTGGATTTAATAATTCATTCAAAAGAAATATAAAGTTTAATTTTTTTTTTTAAATTGTGGGGGGGGGGGAAATAAAAAAATTTAAAAAGTAATTTTTTCCTTCTCCTTCCCCTCCTCCTCCCCCTCCCCCCGTCTCCCTCCTCTCACGATCGATTTTTTTTTAATTTTTTTTTCCTCCCCCCTCAAAACGCCCTAAACCTAACCTTTTTCTATTTTTTTCTATTTTTTTCTACGTATATAAAAACGGAATTCATTTTTTTTATTTTCGATATATATTCATATTTAATCATTCGTTAGCAGACGACAAAATATTTGTTTTTATTCATCTTCTGACACTTTTTTTCTTCCACGATATTTTTTTTTTTTTTTAAAAATTTATAAAACGGTAACTTAGAGAAAATGGCGCTAATTATTTTCATTCGTATTTATTTTTTTAAATAAATAAATAAATAAAATATCTCTTATTGAAAATAAAATTTTTTGTAAAAGAATGAATTAAAATTTTTCGGGGGGGGGGGGGGAGGCGGGTTATCTTTTAAATGTAATTTTCGTGTAGGTTAATATATATAAAAAAAAAAAAAATTATAAACGTTATGAAATTTTTTTATTTTTTTGTCGACGCCATTATTATTCTCTCCAAGCCAGTTAATTTTTTTTTGTTGAAAATCCTCATTATTATTCAAAATGTTTTTTTTTTTTATGTTACATGTTACTTAAATAATTAACGGTTGATTATGTTTAAGTGAAAATAAAAAAAAATTTTAAATTTTAAATGTTATGTGGGTGGTGGTGTGGTGTGTGGTGGGTAGATTTGGTATCATAATTACTACACAAATTGTAATATAATTTTTTTTTTTTTTGTATAATAACAACAGACGAAAATAATAATAATAATTTAAAAGTCTTAAAAAGAATATAATGTTTAATTTTAAGCCTTTAATAAAAAAAAAATTTTTTTTAAATTTTTTAATCGTAACGGTTTTTCAACTCTCTTTTAACAAACTTTTTTCATAATAATTTTTATGGTTGTAAAATTTTTTTTTTTTTTAAAATATAAAATAATATTAACAGGTAACCACCATGAGCGACATTAAAAACGGACATTTTGAAGATAAAGACAGAATAATAATAAAAACAGAAGAAAAGGAAAAAATTTTAAACGAAGAAAATAATACAAAAGATTACAATTTTAAATTAATCGACGAAAATGGAAAGGCAAGTTTAACGGAAAAAAAAAAAAAAATTTTTTTTTAAAATTGTTTGGAATATAAAAAAAAAAATATAACGAAAAAATTTTCAGGATGAAATCGAACAAATACGTAATGACGTAGAAATAATAAAAACGGGAGAAGTTGAAAAAATGAAGAAACAATTAGAAGCATCCCAAAAAGAATTAGGGAGCTCTGTAAGAGTTCCAATAGGAGGAATTAAAATCCCTGGTTTTTTACGTAGTCGTAAAACGAAGGTAAAAAAAAAAATATTATTATTATTATCCCCAAAAAAAAAAAATATTTTTACTCCATATTTACACATACCAACAGGAAACGGATGAAAATTCAACCGAACCGGATATAGAACCGCCATTCGTTGCTCAAAACGTTAGAAAAGAAGATGATAAAGAACCGGAAACTCAAAGGCAATTAATTGCTAAAAGATTTAGAAAAATTATAACGAGAATGCCATTGACGAAAAGTGGAGAAGGAGGTGGTGGTGGTGATGATGATGATGATAATATCGAAAATCGAGATGATGCCAAAGATGAAAAAAATTTAAATACTAAAAAACAAAAAAGTTTTTTCAATTCAATAAGGATACCATTAATATCGGATCGGCCAAAAAAATTAAATAGAGAATTTAAAAATGAGGTAAATATTTTCATTTATGCTATCATCATTATTATTATTATTATTATTATTATTTAAATGTACAGTGCTCTGGTGTGAATGTGCGTGCGTGTGTGTGTTATTTTCTCGCTTTTATTTATTTTATTTAGTAGTTTAGACATATATTTGATGTTTAAAAAACCTTTATTTATGTGTTTGCACCTATTTTGCACCTATGAAGCACCTAATGTTGGAAAAACTACAGTAAGTAAATGTCTATTAAAAAAAAAAAAAAAATGTAGGATTTAATTAATAGAAATTATACTCGTTAGTTATTAAACATAAAAACTAATCGATTATCGAAAATTAATATAATAATAAAAATAAAATTCGATAGACTAATTTTAGTTCTATTTAGTTATTCGTGTTTAGTCATTTTACATAAAAAAAAATGTTACCGAATATTAAACGATAAATTTTTTTAATAAAAAAAAAAAAAAAAAAATGGTAGTTTGAGTTGGCATTGAGTTTTGTAATTTATTTTTTTTTTTTTTTCCAAAAATTTAGAAAGACATGGAAATGGGTACTGCAGGTTTAGCATCGATGGAAACTCTGGAAGATTCAAAAGAAAGTAACGGTTTGGTCGAAGACGGTATGGAAACGGTAAAATTAGACGTAGACGATTCCAAAGATGTCGAAAGTCAAGAATTAGCGAGCAAAAGAAAACAAGGAGTTTTTGGAACGTGGAGCGTTCGAGACTGGAGAAATTGGCCGGAAAAAATGAGAAGACTTACAAAACACGAAAAAGCCATAAGTCAGTTAATTGTTTGTCGTTTGTTTTGTTTGTTTTAAATAAAAATAATTATTAATAATAATAATAATATTAATTTTATTTTTTAGTTGCGGCCATAATATTATTTTTAATTTTATTAATTTTAATAATAATACTTTTGGCTGGATCAAAACAAGCAACTTCACCACCCATTAAAGACGGTCGTTACATCGTAACATCGTCTTCTTGTGGACCAATCGAAGGGTATTCATCTATCCTATCCTCATTATCGAAATAATAATAATAATAATAATAATTTTTTTTTTTGATTCGTTTAAAATGAGTTAAAATTTTTTTTTTTTTTATTAGAATATTTGACGAAGGAATATTTAAATTTCATGGTATACCGTATGCGGTTCCCCCTCTGGGAAGTAAACGTTGGAAATATGCAGAACCTCTCGATCAAATTGACAAATGTTGGAATGGTACATTGAAAGCTTATAATCGTACGTCTACCTGTTGGCAAATATATATGGAACCAAATAGAAAATGGCGTATAGACGGAGCGGAAAATTGTCTGACATTAGATGTAATTTTATTTTATATAATTTTGACATTTAAACCAAGACTAATGATTAATTAACGATTAAATCTCCGATTTTACAGATTCAAACTCCTTTTGTTAGATATGATACTCCCGTACCTGTTATCGTACTCATTGATAGTGGTACCCTTGTCGGGGGATCCCCTGGTATACTAAAACCCACAGCAAAAATAATAAGAAGTAAAGAAGTAGTTTTCGTCCGTCCAAATTTCAGATTGGGAATATTTGGATTTTTAGCTGCTGATGTCCTATCGAAATCTACCTATCCCCCCGTGTAAGAATTTTTTTCTTTTGTAATTTATAAGAATTCCAGGGGGGAAAAAATGAAATGATTATTATTATTATTTTTTTTTTTAAATTTAGATCCGGAAATTATGGTTTATCCGATATAATAACAGCATTAAAATGGATAAAAACAAATATTGTTCATTTTGGAGGCGATCCAAATATGATAACCGTATTGGGACACCGTGCTGGAGCAACATTAACTACGGCATTAGTTTCCAGTCACGCGGCTAAAAATTTATTTAATAGAGCTTGGGCTTCCAGCGGTTCCGTAATATTTCCCGATAAAGTTTTACAATTGTCCGAACAAGCTAATCAACGTTATATAGACCGCATATGTGCACGTAAGACTAAATTAATTCATTTTAAAACGTTTTAAATTTTTTTTAATTATTATTATTATTATTATTATTTTTATTATAGAAAAACCTGATAAGTTATACTGTTTGAAATCGTATGATGCCGAAGAATTAGTCGAAGAATTAGAAGATTCATGGAGGCCTACCATTTCCGATTTACCGGCCAATTATGAAGCGAATACTACCAAACACGAATGGCTTGTTTTAGATGGTAACATTCTTAAGGAAGGTCTTTGGCATGATAATTCTCAACAACATACCACCCTAGTTTTGGGTTAGTTTTTTAAAAATTCACCCATTAAATTTTAATATGTGTTAACGATTTAATTAAGGTTTTTTTCCTCAAAAAATAGGAACCACGGCTCATAGTGAAGCAAGTCCACAACTTTGGGAAAAACTTCAAAAAATACCTGGACCTAAAGAAGAAGCGATAATCGAACACGTCAAGGGTAGTTACATAGGTACGATGGGATTAACTAACGAAGCGTTAAAATTATACAATAACAGTTGGGAAGATTTAACGGCCATGATATCAGATATTCGAACAATTTGTCCAACGTTAAATTTCGTACGATCTCAGGTATTGTTTATTAATTCAGGTACTTTATCAATAAGGGGAAAAGGTTATTATAAACGATATCTTTTTTGTATAGGGAGCACAACAAAACGTATCATTTTACGTGGCTAAACTTGAAAGAAATCACACGGATTTTGGTCAAATAGCTGATATCGGTGTCGACATGTCATCTATATTAGGTACGTACGAACCTAGAACGACAGCCCAAAGAAATTTCGTCAGCACGATACAGGATTTATTTTATAATTATGTTAATCACGGAGAATGGACGGTTAAAAATCGGGAAGGAGTTTTAATTATAGGAGAAAAAGGTGAATGGTTCGACGATTATCCCAATTGTAATTTTTGGATCTCTAAAAATTTTGTTCCTAAATTTGCCAGGAGAGACTAAAAATTTTTTCCTTTTTTTCCTTTTTTCCTTTTACAAAAAAAATTAATGGCTTTTTAAAAAAAAATGTACTTATCAATACAAAAAAAGCTTAAGAGCACTGATAATAATAATAATAATTCAATCACACGAAACCAATTTTTTTTTATTATTATTAATATCAAAGCTACCATTTGAAAAAAAAAAAAAAAAAAAAAATTAATAAAATGTATGCAAAATTATTATTATTATTATTATTATTATCAAGCTGTTGCCAAATTATTATTATTTATGTTTATTTAAATGCCAAAATTTTTTACACACGCTGGCCTAATAATAATAATAATAATAATAATAATAATAATAACAATAATTTAAAAAAAATTTTTTTTTTATATGCATAATAATAAGTTAACAGATTAACCGTTTTTTTGGGTGGCACACACGTGTCACACACACACATTAATTAATTAATTAATTAATTAAATAAAAAGCTCAAATCTTACAGTTAATAAATAATAATATTTTTATAACCGATAAACATATGTAGATATGTACATACATCAAATGTACATAAACATAAACAAATGTCAGAAAATTATTTATTAAAAATGAAATGAAATGATTTTTTATCT